AAGGAATGGCGTGGAGTAAAACAGTTGATGTTTCAAGAAGTAAACCCAGGTAGGAACTGAAGCTATGGATGATCTTCGGATCTGTGCATAGCCTAGTTCATACACAGCTTTGCATGAATAAATCTCAGGAGTTTCAGGATCCCTTGGCAGTTTACTACAGCAAATGTGTGAAAACCATCAGCATCCATGGGTTCAGCTGTCTGCAGAGTGCAGAGGTTGTGCACAAGAGTTCCCAGGCTCTGCAGGGCCCTGTCCTTGGCCAACTCAGCAGAGGTTTCCTCATTTCATGGAGACAGTTGCCATGTGCCCAGAGCCTGCTGAGTGTGTCCCTTCCCCTCTGCCAGATGTGCCACCAGTTTTTATAGTAGCAAAGCGTGCAAGTGTAGGAGCTTGTATGAAATAACCTTACCCATTTTCAGTTCTTCATGATACTCCCTTTAGGATTTTTCTTCAAAGTTTGTTGGATTTGGTTTTTATGGGTGGTCTTTTTTTTTTTCTTTGCTTCATCAATTACTATTCTTGTGCTGTTACTTTGTTTAACAGATCTTAAAAGGAGACCTAGAAATGAAAAGGCAAATGATGAGTAAGCTGAAGTTGCTCAGCCAAGATATCCTTGTAGCTGTGAAAAATAAAGCAGTGGCTCAAAAGCTGGAAAGTCGTCTTGAAAATTTTGCCCAGCGCTGGGATAGCCTTGTGCAGAAGGTGGAGAGCTATTCTAAGCAGGTTTGTAAAATCCATAGGTTTATCAGTTTGTGCCAGTCAAATCCTCTGACAGTCAAATGCTTGAAGTAGTTTTGGTGCTGTTTGTCATCTTGCTTTTTTTTTTTCCCCTGCATGATGCTTAAGACATATTTTATTTTTACGGCAGCATAATACAACTGCAATGTAACTTTACAGAATTTTATTTATCTCTTTAGTATTTACTCTCTCTTTATAGTGTTGATTATTTTCTTGGGTTGTTAACTATGTTTTCAGGGGTGATACTGATAATGAAAATCCCCTTTCCAGTTAATTTATTTTTAACCTATAATAATGCAGATTTTAAGGGCTGTCTCTGTGTAATACCACTTTGTCTGAAATTAGTGTAAGAACTATCTGCTAGCTAAAGAGAAATTTAAAATTCTTTTGTCAATGGTAAAATTTATAATTATTTACTGGTTTACTGCTGCATGTGTTATGCTGATTTTCAGATTAAAAAGAGGCCATGCTAAAGAGAATTACTTGGAAAAATAAAGAAATTAATCCATACCTCTAACCCAATTTCCAATTAAAAAAATATAATCTGCTGTTATTTTGGCCACCTTGTGTTAACTGTATTTTGTCAAAAAAGGAATTGAGGCTTTCAACCAGATACCAAAATTCAGCACTCTGGGGTAGTACCCAAACCCATATCCAATTATTTTGCCTAGCCATCTGTCAGCATCTCTTTCTTCCTGCATTTAAACCCACATCAGCTCACCTCTTTCATTGCATTATCTCAGTAATGTGTTATTTTTGTGCTATCATTCTATGGCTGGTGAAATGGAAATAGACATTAAGAGTTTTTAATGATGACACAGAGCAGAATGTTACAGCTGAATATTGCTTTACTTCTGCAGACATTACACAGTCAGTGCTAACTGAAGAACCAGTTCCTAAGACATTGCTGCACAGTTTAGATGTCTATTCTAGGAAATACTGATGGTGTGCTGCTTACCACGTGTTTCTATCTAGGCAGGGCAGATGTTGGGGTTTATACATTTATTTGTTTTGGAGCTCATATATGTGTTCAGACTGAAAGAAAAAAATTGCCTTAAGAAGGTCTAATTAAGCTCTCTCATCATGTAGTGAGGAGGAGGAGAATTAGAAAAGGGCAACAAATAGAACATTTTTTCACTAAAACCTATCAGAAAATGCACATTTTATTCATCAGCCTTAGGTATTGACTTCAGCATTAGCTTTACATGGTTTAGTGGTGGACTTGGCAAGCTAGGTCAGTACTTGAACTCAGTGATCCTAAAGGTCTTTGCCAACCTAAATGATTCTATGATTCATAATTCTCGTAACACTATCGTGATTTCATTTTTGTCTTTAGTTATTTCCTCTCTTTCTCTTAATAAAATGTCATTAAATTATTCACTTTTTAACAAAATAAGAAATTAAATAGAAGAGACCTCAGGCTCATTACAAAGCTGATTCTCCAAGTAGACATAGAAAATTGTTACACATTCCAAAGTGCAGCAAGTAGAATGTGAGTCCTCCCACACTGACCTGAATTAATCGCTGCTGAATTTAAGCATCTAATCAGAACTCATGGCTGAAGCTTCTGCTACAAATGAGTGGATGGCCAAGGTGTGTGGGACAGAGAAATATCTCTAAGGAGCAGTTTGTCCTCATCATGAACACGTCAGCTTTCCTTCATTGACCAAACAGTGGAATCAAGGACAAGGACAACTTGCATAGACTCCGTGTGTAGATTCTCAAAGCTCTGAACCCCTCTTTGCTGAGTTCATTATGCTTCACTAAATTGTACTGAAAATCTTCCCAAACTAAAGAAAACACCATTCCTCATCTGAACTTCCCCACTCACATAGATAAATTTCATCAAGGAAGAGATGACAGCTCCAAAAGTGAGTGTAAAGGAAAATTATGAGTTTATCAGGACAGAGGGCACTTCCAAGGGCAGTAAGAAATGATGGCATTGAAGGGAGGCTGCTGTATGGATGAGAAGTGAAATGACATAAAACTGCTGAAGTGCTATACACACATTGTACATATGTTTGCCTGTAGAGGGTGGAAAAGAAGGTTTAAATTTGTCTACTTTGAGAAAGAGATGAGCTTTAACATATTCCTGAGATGGGCTTGCTGATGTGAAACTGCAGGCAAGCCTTGTGTTTTGAAAGCCTTTTAACATGCAGCCTCATGAGTCACCTTAGCACTTTCAATATGATTTTCTAGTGGGTTAAAGCTTTAGTCTGTATTGCCCCTTCTCAGAGTCATATTTGCTTGTCAGGCGCTGAGAGGGATGAGTAAACATTATTGTCATTATTTGGACCATCTTTGAATAATACATGAAGCACACCACTTTGGGGATTGAAGAGGTGGTTTGGGTGTTTTGGTTGTTTGTTTTTTAAATTGTTTTTAGTTTTTTTTAATCTCAGGGAAGCTAATAAAATTTGCTTCTTTTTCAGAATTTCTTGTATTTTTAAGGATTTTCCTTTATTCACTAAAGTGTGCATACTATTCCAATGTGAACCAAGTTCATCTTGCAGAGTAGGATTGCAGTGAAAAATAATTCTTTATTGTTTTGCCATGTGAGTCATTCCCCGCACAGCATGGTGACTTGGCTGCTCTGAGCAGTGGGAATTGTGCTGCCAGCTCAGGGAGCAGTGCCCTGTTCAGCTGCCCCTGCTGCTGCTGTGCCATGGGTGCTGTGCTGCAGGTGATTCCTCCAGCCCCGAGCTGTGGTTTGTTCTGGCTCACACCTTCTGCAGTGGAGACTGTGCAATGAAAACATGGCAGGATATCACCTTGGGTGTCAGAAACATCATCCTATCATTGATTTTTGGATAAAACTGAATGTAGTAAGAGTTTTATGAGAAGAGGAAAGAGAAACTGTACCCAAAACTATACACTAGGCAAGAAATTCTCTTTGTTCTTCGGTACAGAGTCAAGTCAGGGAAAGATGACATTAGGTGCTATCCTCAGATTTCATAGAACCCTAGACATTAGGAGCTTTAACTAGCTTTTCCTTCCACCCTCTAATTTATTAAAAATTAAATTGAAAAGAATGCTGCATAAAGTTGCAATAAAACTATATGGAAATGTTTACTTGATATTAGCATAATTTCTATAAAAAATAATCAAAATCAATACATCTTGTTGAGGGAACTTAAACAAGAGTACTAGTACGTAACATTGTAGTGACTAAAAAGTAAACTGAGTATTCTTCTTCTCTTCCAAAGAATTTTTAGTTCATATCTTAGCTAAGTCCCTACAGGTCTCAAGCAGCTTGCTTCAATTGACATCATTAATCCAGAGATTAAAAACCATAAAAATCTTCTCTGCATCTAAATTTTGTAGTCTTCTGTGTAGTGTAGATTCTGCTCTAAAGCTGGAGAGCTGCTCATCTCTGCAGGTAGAAACATAACACTGAGTTAACTGCTCTATGTAGGAAATATCACCAAAATTACAGTGGTAATGGACTTCCCTACTTCTCACTTCCATTGTGAGACCGCACAAAGAATATGTAGAAGACCATGTGAAGGATTCAGCAAAGTTGGCAGGAATTTGGTTTTCTCTTTTTTAGCTTTACTCATGTTGCTTGCTGGGCAGGGGCTTGTTGCTAATAGTGTCCTCCTTTCCTTGTCATTCTGTTTTGTTTTTTTTTCAATGCAAGAAAGCATTGTAGGAAAGGTGTTAGGGACACTCACCTGGTATGCCTCATCTCCATTGTTTGTAGAAACACTGATGTTGCAATGACTAAGGTGACTCCATTCTGTTACTGAGTTTCTGATGCAAGAACTAATAGGTAATTTATGTATGTGTTTATAGTCTCATGGAATTTTAGATACTGGCATTTCTATTTTTGAATTGGGAGGTCTTTCATGTTCTTCCATCTTGGCAATAAGCAAGAAGCAGTGTTCTTCTGGTACACATCTTTTCCTGCTCCCGGTGTCACTTCTTCCTTTTGTTTTCCATTTCACTGCCCCTGAATTGTGAGGTGGTCATTGCAGCTGTAACTAGAGCATTTTGACAAATGAGCCATCATCTGACAGAACCAGAAAAAGAAGTGACCTATTTCTCATGAGTTAAGGGATTTAAGAACAGCTGCCCATGTTTAACTCAGTATCTTTCAAACAAGTATGAGCAAAAATTATTTCTCATTGTTCTTTTTCTTTTCTTTTTTACGCAGCTGAGCTATATAAAGGGGTTTTTTTTCTTCATATTACTGGGCAAAGTTAAATGCATTAGATTGGTAGTGTTTACAGTGCTGCACATTATATATATTAGTACCTGCTATGACCCCATAACATTGTTTTTCTAATGGTGGAATAAAACTGATGCAAATTAATTTGCCTTCTAGTGCATGTTTTCAAATTTAAGATTATCTGACAGAAATTTAACTGTCTTTTATGCAAGTAGGTTATGATGATTTACATTCTAGTTTGAAAATTTTTATGCACAGTAAAACCAATAATTGGTAATTTAGTGCCATTACCATACCTTTATCACTTCTCAAGGAGCAAATTTTCAGAATGGGGGTAGAATAACATGTAGCAATAGTAACATTTAATACATTTGCTCTTATTCAATTCCCTCATGGAATTGACCGTTCATTTCTTTTTTTTTCGTTCAGCACGGATTACAGGGAGGTGTAAGTTCATTAGAATCCTTTCTGATTTTGGTATTGGCTTCTGCAGATATCTTATTCACCCAGCGTGAGTCAGATAAAGCAATCTGGTTTGAGTGGTGTGGAATGCTGTTTTTTTCTGAAGGTCAGCCCATGATCAGATGGGAGCAGTTTCTCATTATTTCTATTGCTCCTCGAAACAATCTTTCCTGGAGTCTTTCAAACAATGTGTGACCTCTGTTTTAATGCTTCTCACAGATTTCGCAGGCTGTCACCACCACTCAGACATCAGTAACACAGACAACTGTGATGGAAACTGTAACTATGGTGACCACGAGAGAACAAATCCTGGTTAAGCATGCTAAAGAGGAGCTCCCACCACCTCCACCCCACAAAAAAAGGCAACTCCTTGTGGATTCAGAAATTAGAAAGAGGTGAGAATCATCAAGACACAGAGAGTCCTGAGAGAGTCTGGATGAAAACACAAAAATAGGCATTTGACAGTAATTGTTTTCTCTATATTTTTTGAGCTTATGATTCTATTTCCGGTCTCTATTAAGGAACCGACTGATCATTATCTTGCTTTACTCAGTATGAGTTATGGATTTTTTTTTGTGCTAATATTCCAACTATTTAGCAGTATAGAATGTTATTAATTGCATCAATACCATTGCATGGGAATTATAGTCAGCTGAAGTCCTTATGGAGGCATCATGGGGGTCCCACTTGGCTGCAGTCTTGAAACTTGATGGGCAAGAAGCACTCCAGTAGTGCTCAGATTTTTAGATTCTTCAAGCAGAATTTTTTGATAGTCAGAATAAAAGCAGTACAGATATTGCCTGGTTTCTAAAGTTCACATTGTCATCTTTTGGGCTTGTTGAGTCAGCAGTAGAAATATCAGTTCTGCAGCAGCAGTTAATATTTGGTGAAACATGCATTATCATTATTTTCAGATTTTTCCTGTGTAACTCAAGTACAAGTGACAAGGGATTTTTAGACTACTGCTGAACACTTGTTCAAGTCACAAGAATTAAATTCTGATGAGTTTAAATAGAATTGGCTCAAGCACTAAGTTTCTAAATGGGCTGTTAAGAAACTAGACTTCAAATACTCATTGTAATGTTTGTTTTGGAAATGGTTTCGATATTCAGATAAACATGAATTCCGAGGTAACAGATTCAAGGACTAAAAGGAATGTGAAACTGCATTCTGTGTCTCATTTCTATAGAAAATCTGTTTGTTTTGTACAATGTGTTCACAAGGGTAAGTTATTTTCTTATAAAATAGACTTTAACTTACTGTGAAGAATGAAATATGCCAAGAATAGGAGAATTCTGCCTTTTTTTTAATTGAAGGATGATGGAATTTATCTCACACCTCTTTGACCATTCTTAAAGTAGGATTTCTAGTTTAGCCTCATTATTTAAGAGCACTGCATATGTGATGTAAGAAGAGTGATCACCCCCTTTTTGTTAAGCTGGATAAGTAATTTTCTATGGAAAGTGCTTAGGCTAAACAAGTACCTTTGTTAGCTAAATTTGAATGTGTTGAGTCTGTCTCCAAAGTCCTGATTTTGGAATGTTTTTTCCCATATCCTAGGTTGCCATTAAATAATAGTGAGTTATAATTCGCTAATATATTCCTAAGCACTCAAAATAATGCACAGTGATGACCATCAGCAGACTTGCAATTTGTTCAAGGATTTGTTTGTGGTTGTTGGTAATTTAGTGCCATTACCATACCTTTATCACTTGAATTTGTTCAAGGATTTGTTCACTGTTAGATGGTAATATTGTTACTTAACAGAAATGTTGGTGTTTCAGTAGTATTGTGCAAAGATCTCAAACAGGATTGAGGCCTCGTGGGCTTTAAACCTTTACTATAGCATGGTCCCTGCCCTGCAGTTTTGAAACATTTCAATTATTGATATTTTACAACTTTTCAGTCTGTTCTTTCCAAATTGAATGTTTTAGGAATGATCTTATTTGATAAGGAAGTGAAATGCAAGCCTACTGTTATAAAGAAAATCATTATCTTAGTTAAAACTCAATTAAGTAGAATGATTCTTTTAAACTTGTATTTTTCAATTCTTCAAGAAAGTTGTTGCTATACATAGCTATGCATTATTATAAAATTGGAGAATTTACAGTGGAAGTTCCTTTCACAGATACTATATATGTAATGTTAGCATAAATTTTCTTTCTTGCTCATATTCTTTTGATTTTCGCTCATGTTGAAGGTAAAATTGGCAGGATACAGCAGACTACAGACTATGAGGTGATCATGCAAGGAAAGTACCAGAGGGCAGGAATTAGCTGGATTGTAGAAATTGTTTATGTTCTGAAATACCTTGTTTTATACCAACTGAGAAATAAATTCCTGGGGTGTTTTATTTGTTGTCTGTCTAAAGCACTGCCACTAGCAAGGGTATATATAAATTTGATTGATCCTTGTACAGAAAATAAGATGTATTATCAAATTTGAGGTGCTGATTCCTTCTAGATATATTATTGACAGATCTGGTACCAGATTTGTGAAGTGCTAATGTTTTTTACCATGCATACTAGGTTTTGAGGGAGTTTGATTTATTTTAAGGCCATCTAATAGATATGCGTTCACCAAATAAATTCTGTTTAACTTTTGAGTATGAGTCAAGATGGAACAATCTGTAATTCTCAGCCTTTGTCTAGGATGACTTTAGACAATCAAATAAGTTGTGGTTTCTTTCATGGATTTAAAATCAGAGTTTGATGGTTTTTGTTTTGATCAGTTAAGAATGAAGTCTGAATTCTAGAAGGAAGAGGGAGTTCATTCGTTAATACACTTTAATATGCTCTATTGTTTCATGATCAGGAGTTACTAGATTTGTTTTAACTATCACATGAGGACTAGTTCAGTGTGAGTGTAGAGTGAATACCTGTGAGTGAACCTACAATATGGCAATATGCAAAGTGAGCAATGGTAGAACTGTCCACGCTGTGCAGCCAGATGAATGATGCCTCAATTATATGAAGGCGGAATTTCTTCAGTTAGCTATTCTTTTTGTCATTTCCAACTGAACAAACAAAGGGGAAAAAAAGAACCCCCCAAAAAAAAAATTATGTACCTTTCCTCTCTAGAAAGCCCAAGTGGGTGTTGTGGAGTGGGAGGACCAGTCAATAAATAGCTTTGGAAAAACACTTAAGAGAGTAAACTTTGGGGAAGAAGTTTCAACTTAGAATAACAGTTATTGTGTCTGTGTTTTATTAATACATAAAAATGCAGTCTTGGAAACTAATAAATTTTAAGATATGTTGTTGTCTTTATCAAAGATAACAAAATATAAATCTATACTAAGTATAGGCATAGCAGTGGGAGAAGAAACACTCTGGTTGTTCAGCTAAAATGTTTATGTTCATTGGTAACTAGACACCTTTCTTAGCTGGGATAATCTCATGGCTGGATTCCCAAACAGCCAGGCATTTATTTTTTGGGTCCATTATTGGCCTTAAGATTTTTCAGAGCTTTTTGTATGTATTTAGTTGTAGCTACCCCCAGGGACAAACAGAGCCCATAGTACTGCACAGCTTTGGGTTTTTTTAATAAGCTAACAGAATGGGATTTCTCAACCTTCCTCTCCTACATGGTGTGTGTATGTCCAGAGTTTTCCCTGAGCACTTAATGGCTAATTGTTGATGATTCTGTACTGCTTAGTTTTTGTTTGAAAGAACAACCTGAGCAATTATTGCAGGTTTGTCAGAAGCTTCTGGAGATGCCTAAGCAGATTGTTGGCTGCTTTCTGCACCACAGTGCAGCACACTGGATGCTGTTGCTTAGTATTTTTGTGGCTGGGGGGGAAAGAGACCTTGGGGGTTGAGGCTTGAGGTGGTTAGTAATGCTCTCAGGTGTTGTCAGCTTCTTTCCACTGTTCTCAGGCTTTAGGCAGTTGTTCCTCTAAAGAAGGATGCCTAAGATAAATGCATCAGGCGTCCTGGCCACATGTTTGCAAAGATTTGTGCTCCAGATTTGTTTCTCTGTGAACCAAATGTGTTAGAAATCCTGGAAGATGCCTCAGAGATGCATTGTGCCTGCAGTGTGAATTGCTAGGTGCTCAGTTCCCAGGAGGACGTGAGTAGTTTGGCTGCTCTCTGAGTATTGTGGCTGTGTCAGAGGATGATCTCCAGCTGCTGAGCTGTGGTGAAATAAATGGACCACTAACATTGAAGCGTCAGAATTTCTAGAATGCTTTTTATTTGTGTATTTCCAAGTGCTTTGGCAGGATTGGAAATATGAGAATCTCCATTTATGCTGAAGAAATTGAGGAGAAGCAATTTAACTGGTAGACCAATAGCTTAGACAGGACTGAATGTCACATTCCCATTGCTCCAGTGCACTAAGGCATGAGTGCATGGGAAAGAACCTGTTGGTTTTTGGGGGGTTTTTTTTGCCTCCTGAAGCAACTTTTTACCGTAAGTGGTGAAAAACAGAGTTAAGAAGCAGATTACCTTTTTTCCCTTCACCCTCTGCCCTTCCAAAAAAGTCTAAAACTGCCTCAAAAGTAATGCTTAAAAATGTGAGAATAATTCAGGCATGTGCTAAGTTGTGTTACTGGTCAAAGAAAAGCTCCTTTTCCCAAAGGAATCAGTTTGAAAGTGAGCAAGATAAAATACTTGGAGCTGTGTAATAAGCTCTGAAAGTATGTCTTAGGCATGAGGACTGGAGATAAATATAACACAGCTGAAGCTATAGAATGAAAAAACCCCAAATCGTGTAAATGGGAGAAAGGGTTGCAAGGTAACATCGATTTTGTGGTATTTACATATTCTGGGAAAAAAGTCAGTGTCTATCACCAAAAAAATCTAAAAATTGCTTTGTTCACACCAAGTTTTGAAATAGCAAATATGTTAGAGCTGCTTAACATATAATATAAACATATTTGTAATATTAATGTTCTTGAACAATGTCCAAAGATACCTTTCTTTGCCATTTAGTAAAGACCTTTGTGCATGCTTCAGAGTGTTTGCAAGGAAGGTGTTTGTCATGGTATCATTTTGGGCATGATGTTAATGCTGAGACTCGCTGCCCTTTGAAGGAAAGGCTGGTAAAACAGGATCCTCGCTCCATCTAGTGGCTTTTTCTGTTAACAGAATTTTTTTAAATGAGCCCAGCATTCATTTCTTTAAAAATTATTAGATTTGGGATTCCAATGCTTCATTGCTTAGAAAAGTTTGGATTTTTGTAGAAAGATTTAGCATAGGAAAAACTATATTGACTTTATACTGGTCTTTGTGACAGCTGTTGTTTCAACTATCCCATTGCTGTGCCATGAGTTGTGTTAGTCAGAACTAGATGGAGGTTGCTTAGCACTTTGACAGCAACTCCTGTAACAGCTTGGGCTGCTTGACCCTCTTATGGAAACACTGGTTTTGCTCTTGTATTGTTACCTAACAATAAGTAACAAATGCAAAAAAATAACTGTGCCTTCGGTTTTCCTGGTGGTCCTTGGTTTGAGTGCCAAAGGAAAAGGTGACTGAGACACAACAGAATAGTTTTCTGTTGTTTACAAGAAGAATGATTAATAAACATTTTAATTTTTAGTGTAAGAATGGTGGGCACGTTGAGTTTTGTAAGCATGAACACCATATAACTTCTTAATGCTCACTAATTTTAACCCTGTTATCCTGTTCTTGAGGTGAGAAATGGCATAGTCACAAGTACAAGAATGTTAAATTAAAGTAATTATTTACAGTAATTGTCTCGAGTGATTTTTTTTGTTTAGTATCTTTCATGGATTTATTTTTACAAATTCTACGTGTGCTAAACTTTGTTGGATCAGAAGGGTAATCTTGCATTATTTTATGTCAGAAGTATTTTTGTACTTAGGAGATTCAAAGGCTATTGATCCTTTGCTATCAATCTCGAGCTAATACAATTTGTAACTGCAGCTGTGCTCAGAAAGGAAATGTCCAATCACTCTAGCAGAATGATTAAATGCCATGTTCTACCTGTATTTTCTCCTTTTATACGAGATGAACATGAGAAACTTTTTTTCCCCCCAGGGTAATTGACAACTGTCTGTGCTAAGGATATTTATGTACTGCAAAAAGCTACTTAGCATTAGCTTTTCTGTATTTGAATCTTTTCTGCCCCCTCCTTAGTGCCTGTTTTGGGGCAAAGGCTTTGTTTGTGGAGTATATTCATCTCCAGAAGAAACTGGGAGTGACAGAGCAATCTGTTATGTGAGATCAGCTCTGTCATATCAGAGAATCATATCATATTATGGAATGCTTTGGGTTGGAACGGACCTTAAAGATCTGTGTCTAATACTTACCACCCTCTGATGGCTCTCTGGGCCATGAGATGTGTTCCTGATTATTTTGTCATACTGTCAGAACTGTCCCAAATGCTCACATTACTCTTCCAGGAAGAGTGATGCAGAGGCAAGGGCTAAATCCTTTTATTTAAGAAATGATCACTGGGAAACATTTTGCTCTGTCAGTTTTCATGCTGTACCAGTGTAATACCAGACTGTTCTTCAGTGAGCTGATCTCTCTAGTCCTTCTTCCTGTGGCTGGAGAATGGATTGAATGCCAGAAATCAAACAACGTGACCTGGAGTCAAAGGAGTTTAATACTCAGGGAATGGTTAACTTGTCTTCATGGTTATCAGATGTCTGGTGTTCTGTGATCATTTAGTATGCAGTTATTATTTGCAAAACAGAGGATAGCATTATATTTCAAGAATTATAGTTGATCTGTTATCAGAAATAAAGCTGAAGTAGGAAGGGTTTAACTGGTAGTGCAGTTCAAGTTCAGGGATTAGAGTCTGGTCCCAGCACAGAGATTCCTTGAACCATCTGGGAATTTTATTTTGTCACATGCCTCTAAACTTGTAGTCCTTTATAAAAATCTGCACCTTCCATTACTTCACAGTCACTTTTTTTACATCTTTTATGAGTGTTCATATAGTGCTATTAGTAATTGTTGTACCAAATTTACTCCTAAAGGTTTTTAATCTGAGTCTAGAGTACTGGACTGGGATTAAGGCTGTGTGTGTGGTTCTTCTTTCTTCAGATTTCATATTTATGAATAAAAAATTCACAGTTCAGAAGGAAATGAAGGGAGTCATAAATAATAGATCAAACATGGAACTCTTTCTTCTATTCAGTTTTCATTTCTTTGTATGTAGATTTCTGTAACACCTGACTTTAGCTTTCATCATTATATTTTTTGGAGTATATTTTTTATAAAATAATTTCTCCAAATGTATAATTGTTGTTTGAGTTACTGTTTTAAACAGATTTTTCAATTGTATGCACATGTTACAAGCTATAGTCACAAAGCAACCTGAGATACAGCTAGTTATTTTTCCCCTAAGTCTTTCTCTTCTGTTGCATTCACTGTATTGCTTCAGAGAGAACATCAGTTGCAAATTACATATAATTATTAGAACATACAGGGCAATAAGGAAATACAATCAAGCAGTGTGGCACAACTGAGAAAAATACTGTCTCGAGCTTCTTTTTTTAAAAACTGCAGTAGCTACTGAATCACAGGTTGAATTTTCTACACATCAGTAGATTAAATATCTGCATTTTGAGGTGCACCTTCTGAGGAGATAACAAAAACTAAGATCAGTTTTAAAGGAGCTGATGAAAGGACTGAAGAGTAAAAACTAGTTATGAAGTATGTGCAGAGAGTTTGGGATCTTAATTTCAGTTTCAAAAGCTTTGACTGTGGAAAATTATACTTTACTGTTGATTAGTAATGACATTATACAACAAATTTAATTCTGTCAGAAAAGGCTCCTTTCTTGTAATCAAATTTTCTTCTTGAATTTTCTTCATAATGTTGTCTGTGCAGGCTGAGAGAGAAACCTCACAGGTCTGAGGGCTGAATTTTGCCAGCCAGAGAGGCCTTACAGCCTCAGCCAACAGCCCCCGTGGAACTTTCTCTTCACCGAGCCCTGTTTGTTTCACGTCTTCCAAAAACATCAGCTTGTACAGTTAGAAACATTCTTCTGAAAATTGTTGCATCTGTTCAGCTGTCAAATCAGGGGCTTAAAAATGAAGAAGTATTTCTACGTTTCCAGATTTCAGAGTGAATAGTTTTATGAACTATCTAATAAAAGATGAGAGAAATTGCTGCTTCTCCAGTCGTTTAAACAACCGGTTAAAGGTGTTTATGTCAATGCTGTTTGCAGAGCCTTTGTGGCCATGCCATGTCTCACTGCCCTTTGTGCCCGCAGGTTTGACGCGGACAGCACGGAGCTGCACAGCTGGATGACGCGCGCGGAAGCCGTGCTGCAGAGCCCCGAGTTCACGCTCTGCCGGAGGGAAGGCAATCTCTCAGACCTCAGGGAGAGACTCAATGTAGGACCAACTACTTGTACATGTGTCTGTTAGTCTGTGCCAGCTTGGCAGAGTGCTTGGAGTCCGAGTTTGAATGAGTTGAAATGGAGACTGACAAGCACTGGTTGTCCAGGATAAATTTAGAAGTGCTCACTATTTCTGTGAATTTCAGATTTTGGCAGCAAAATTGCTGCACAGGCTGTGTGAATACGTATATTTATTTTTTTTAAGTCATACATATTCATATTTGATGAAGGTATTCTAGGTTAATTAATGTCTTTGGTGAAGTTAAATCAAAGCCTATATATCACTTCTTAAATATGCATCCTCCTTCTATACTAACAGCTTAATTTGACATTATACATGCATAAATAGAAGAACACAAGAAGTGTCACTTTAGTGTGTGCTAAAAATCTGTATCTAAATCCTTTTAAAGTGCTGTGGCATATATATGAAAATCACCAGTCTCCATGAGGGTTGTGATTATTTTTTTAATCTATTGTAGTACCAAGGCTGAACCAAACCCCATTCTTTTCTCCTTCAGGCAGAAGGAATGGTTCTAGACTGCTGTGTGTGGAGCACAAACTGAATTACTGAATTTAGCCCTTGAAAACTAAACTGTTACAAGTTTTCTTCCATATTTAATTTCTGTAGGTCAATGAAAAAGTGCCTATCTTCTCTGAATAAGGGAAAGGGGAGTTCTTTTTATGATTGGCTCTTATAGTATCATAGTATATCCTGGAACCTCATTAAAACATATGGTGGTTCAAACAGACAAAACAAAGTTGCTGTATTGAAGTTAGTTTTGCTGTTTTTTTTTCTTTCTAGCTGCTTGTCTATCCTAAATCAGCTATGATAAAATTGAGGAACATGGAATTTTGTGACTGTACATATGCATTTTTAAAATTTCATGTAAAATCATGGTTTTCTTGCAGTAATTTTAGTTGTTACTATGGTCATAATATTACTGCTAGGTTGTGTCCATTAGAATGTAATATCCTGAATGTAGTTCATGCCAACACTTCATGTTATGTGAAATACACATAAATCTACATACAAATGCAAAAGGGATCCAATATACAGAGTAGATTTGATGAGTCCAAATGCTTCCATACTGATTTAATGAGACTCACCTAATACATTAATAGATATACAGTTAATTTTCCAAGTGCTTCAATCTTCATTATAATTAAAAAAGAAATTTTTAAAAAAGAAAGGAAATACTAATCTCTCCTTCCTATATTGCCATTTTGGCAAACATATCAATTTCAATGATGAAAATTATCTCAATGACCTACATATTCTGCAGGATACCTGCACTGTCAGGTTTCCCTGTCCAGTATGATGTTCCCCCTCATATTGTCAGTTTCTAAGACTTTACAGAAGCATTAAAGGGTCCAGGAGGTTCACCTTCCTCCTCCTTTCCTTTCTTTGCTTTCAAGGAGGAGGTGTTTGCTGAAATTTGCTGCAAAACAACGTTGGGGCTGGGAGGTCACTGCCCACCACATCTGTTCAGGTGTCATTTCTGCTGGTGAAACATTGGTAATACTGGAGGAAGAGGTGTGGAATTTCAGCAGCGTGTGAGCATTGTGAGCTTGAATTCAGGGCACTAAGGATAGCAGGAGATAGCAAGGCTGTTCCTTTGACCTCCTTGGGAATTGCATAGCTGAATTGCTAAGAAACCAATTTCCAGCTTCTTTTCGGTAAAGTGGTACAGAAAAGGGTCTGTTTTGCATCAGAGGGGGCTGAGGCAAACCAGTAATTCTAAGTAGATATGAGAAAACCAGTTATGTTTCCTTCATTAACCTTGAAAATATTTGTAAAGACCAAACAGGTTTCAATTTAACAGTGTCACTACTTTTGAAATTAAGGTACAGATGCAAAAAACCCCTCACAACTTTTGATAGAAAATCCTGCTTAATAAGTCAGATTGGAGACTATACAACAATAAACTTGAAATAAAACTCCTTGAAAGCAGTTTTGGTTAGCCAAGAAGCACCTAGAAATTCAGAATCAAAGATAAACATATAAAGAACAGATGTAAGGGAAAATGTCAGATATCCTAGACAATTAAATTTGTTCTCTTGGCATTCTCAGAAACCCCTTTCTCATTTGTTTGTTTTGTTTTAGTGACCTTTTCCAGCCATTCTTTTTTGGGCCTGGCTGTCTGAGAGCCCAGTCACTCTGGGTCCATGGGGATGCTGCTGCTCTGTCCTGCCCTGAGGGGTAACTGGTGCCCAGCAGAGCAGGTCAGGGAGTGCTGCTGCCCTGATGCTTTCACAGAGCTCTCAGAGTGCAGTGCTGACCTGATACATCAAGAGCATCCAAATTTCCCCAACTGTCAGAGTTTTCTAGGTTATGAAGTCATTAACTGTCAGCTAAAATCTCAAGGTCAAATAAAACATTTAGCTTTGTGAAAATTGCTTCTTCACCTTTGGCTGGCATTTAGCTAAAGCTGAATTTTTCATATTTTTCAATCAATTAAAACTAGGCTATAATATGTTTGCATTGTCTGTTAGAAAGGAGCAGTAAAAAGTACTGTTACACAGTGACAGTAAAGCTAACCTTTTCCTCTCACTGTTTGTTTTTTTTCCCCTGAAAAATCTCTTCTAGAAAACAAAATAGGTTTATAAGAGATAAAGGGGAATTTATATATTTGGAAATGTTGTTAAGAAACTTTGCCACTGAAATCAAAAAGTGTCTATTACAGTGTACAAAATCTAAGAGTTTCAAAGCTTCACAGACCTCTTCAGAATTACCCCATTCTACTTGTGTAGCAAATGAACCTGACTTAAGAGTATGGTCACCTTAAGTAAAGGAAATATTGAAGAAAACAGAGCCAAAGAGATAAATGAGAGGTGTTTCCAGGACTATTCCCTGCATTTCTTGGCACTTTGTGCAGGGTTATGGGAATCCTTCTGAGGCTCCTAAGAATGCACGGCACAGTTTGCAGATGCAGCAAACACAGGCAGTGTCCAGACTGATGGCAGCACTGTGTGAGCAGCGCTGGAAAAAACTAGACTGAATTTCCTCCTTTCTCCCCAGGTCACAGAAATTGGCTTTGTAAGTGGAACAACACTGGGTGTAATCATACGTTTTCTTGTAAACAGTGCTAGACCTTTGTTTTCATAACATATAACATTACATAAAAATGGAGAAAAATACTTGACAGCAATTTGATACCTACCAAATTTTTGTGTTTATTTGAAGACTCGCATATAGTACTTATATTTTTTTCCCAGGACCTGGGAACTGTAATCTTTCAGGAGACAGGTGGATATTTCTCCACATTTTCCAGCACACTTAGCATGTTACTGGGCACTAAAGGGTTCACTTCCACAGGCTTTGATGTCATATAATTTTTATATTTCAAAAAGATAAGTTTTAGCATATCTTATGAGGTTTTTTTAAATTACTCATTTGTGCTCACTGCAGTTACACTCATGATAATTCCACACCTGGCATTACAGATGGAGTAGAATTATTTTCAGTATATTTTAGTGGGTTTATGATTTCCTTGAGCTCTCTGTCGTTACTCTCCAGTTAAGTATACCTGGCATTATAGACAGAGTAGTATTAGTTAAGATTCTGTAAGAAATTTTGGAACTCTGCAGAGAATTAATAGAATTTGGAAAAATATTTACATTGTACAGTGGAATGGTACAAGGTTTTATTGACCTAAAAAGTCTGCAGATAATTAATCAGATAATATAGTCATCTTTAATTCATTAGGATTAAACTTCATAAGATAAGTTTATAAAATCCAAAATCTTTTCATCCTTATCACTGTCTAAATATCCTTTCTTTATATTCTCTTTATTCAAAATTGTATTAGTGAAAGTGTTTGATAGAAACGTTGAGATAGTGTTAGAAAGTCTGTGTTCTAGTACATGCACCAATGAATGGCAGTTATTGGTAGGCTGAGGAAAAGTGTGACTTCTAGGCAAAATCTCCTCACCTACTGAAGTCTTCCAGGCAGCTGCTTCTTACTCATCTGAAGATGTTTTAAGCATCATGCTTTAATAGTTATTTTAACTGAGTTTATTAAAGATGTTTGTATTAATTTCATGTAAGCATAGCAGTCTATTTGAAAAATATTGTAAATGTCCAAGGTTATTTTCCTAAGTGCATTCTTAGACACCTACTTTCTGGTTGAAGGAACCTTTTTCCCATGGAGAGTCCCATCACACAGCACAGACCTTTGCTGTGGGAATGAACCAGGTGCTCAGGACTCCTCCTGGGCTCAGCCAGTTCGAGAAGCTCAGCCAGGGCTGTTATCTTTTCATACACATCACGTGGGATCTGTGGGGACATACCCCCTTGTATGTGTGTAGCTGTGCAGTCAAGTGACTCTTGATTTTTGGGAGCCTGTGTTGGTCAGGATCTCTGGGAGGTGCAGAGTCTGTTTTAGTTTTGGTATCACACTTCACTCTGTGTGCCCTGTGCTGCTTCTCTGGGCTTCTGATTTAGAGCTTCTAAATTACACCTCAATTATGCAACTAAATTAGTTTAAAATCAATGATGTGACTTCTTGTTGTTAATTGCAAGGCAGCACCGATGGACTCTCAGATCTAAAATGATTTTACTTTCCATTTGTATTGCTATTGACCCAAAATGAAATCCCAAACTTAGATTCCTACTCTGTCCTGTAAGTTTAGCACTTAGCCTTTAGTGGCCCTTACCACCTGGGCTGAGTGCTAGCCTGGACATGACAATGTTTTGCTTACAGAAAGGGGAATCAAGTGTATTGGACATGAGATGGAACAAGAATCCTGTATTAAATCTGCAGTTAACTCTTCTTACTTAGCAGCTCATATATGGATGTTTGCTGTATATGGTCTCATAGATGTTAGATATCTACTTTAATATGCATTTTCCAGGGTTGTTTTTTGCAAACAAAATAGTAACGTAAGCAATGAGATTGTATATGGTTTCCACACAGTAGTTCGCTAGGAATCCCTGTGATTTGGTTCTCAGGCTCAGTTTTTGATGTTATCATGAGAAATGAGCAAATCTATTCTTCCACAAGGAATTTCTGTTGAATGAATATTTTCATTCTGAAATATTGGGCTTTGAATAGATCTTAATTTGTATGTCTTTTATTTGTCTGTAAAATACTGCTGTGTAGTATTTTTCAGCTCTGTTGTGTTCTGATTCTTAGTTTGGGTGTTTGGCTTTGGCTGACTCCCATCCTGGTGCTGTGTGGTTTGTGCTGCTTTCCTTGCACACTGGGAGGCAGGCAGGGCAGTGCGATGGCTTGGATGGTCTTGAGAAATCTGAAGACATCCCTAAGATGAATTGCTTTTTTCTTGAGAACCCCTCAGCTGAAATTCTCCCCTCTCTGTCGTGCTGCAGGCCATCCAGAGGGAGAAGCCTGAGAAGTACAGGAAGCTGCAGGATGCCAGCAGATCAGCTGAGGCCCTGGTGGAGCAGATGGTGAATGGTAATTACACGGGAGTTGCTTTAGATAATCTTCTTAGGGATTTGATAAATGTACAGGTTCAGATTTATCACAGGAATTACCTTAGCGAATACTGTCTGAATGGGACAGTAAAGTGATTCTGCTTTATATTTCTTTTATTATTTCTGAATGTTAAATCTGTTAATTAGAAAAGAGAAAAAAGTCTTACCACTTTAGTACCGTGAACAGAAATGTGTGTAAAACTTGCTCACGGTAATGAACTGTATTTTAGCAATCTGTTCTGTGCAGAGACTTAAGTTGTAATCTTATTTTCTGAGTATGCTAAGCTTTTGAAGTGCATGAACACATCTGAGTTAGAAAGCTCTGAAGGCATTACTTGAAACAGTTTGAAAAAAAAAAAGTGTTTCCTGAGTTTTAATATACAATGCATGTTTTGTAATACACATATTGCTCTAATGTTCTGTGTCATAGAAAATATTTTGTTGGGATTTGGATGAGATTTTTGGTACGTGGTTTTTTTAAAGATAATAAATGTCAAAACTTACACAACTCGTAAAAAGAAAATTAGTTGTAAGGGATTTTTATTGCTATTACTGATTTTTCAAACAAACTTTTGTCATTCCTTTGAACTTTAAATAAGGGAAAACAAAACCCAAAGCAAGGTTGATGCAAGTAAGCCATGCCATTGTCCTTGATATAATATATATAATATTAAACACAGGCTAACCTATGTCATACTGCTCTGAGGTCTGTCAGGCCACATATTGTGGTAGGCAGAGTAGCAAGAATGTGCCAGCAGGGATGCCAGGTGAGCTGTCTGTGAAAAGGAAGACCCCTTTTTGTCATGGTTGTAGGGAAGAAACAGTCCCTTTGGAAAGAGAAGCAATTCCTCTGGACTTTTCAGCTACTCCACTGATGCAAAGACAATTTGAAGAACAGTGTTTGAAATGGTTAGTTAATGCAGTAATTACCAGCAGTACAGAGTAGAATTCAATAATTAACATTAGTTGATGAGAACGGTGAGATGATTTAAACAAAGAATTTGCAAATGGAATGTCTTCCTAGGTGCTAGGAAGTTGTCTGCCGCAGTAAGCCATTGTACATTTGAATGCAATATATATTTGTCTTTTCTTCCATTATGATCTAATGCAATTGCAATTAATGGTCACAATGTAATTCAATTGAAATTGAGCTAAAAGTTATTTAAACATATTAACTTAACTTTAAAACTGCATCTCAGACTGTAGTAGAGTTATGCAGCTTTATATTTTCCACACTAATTCAACTAAGTCTCTGTAGTCTTTGTGTGGCTTGTGGAAATGTATTAAATTTTTTTTGGATTGCTGAATTCACTAAGAACAGCAGTAAAAGTTTGCTGAATCTCCAAAATAATGGTCAGCAGAGCAGTTGGCTATGCCTTCATACCTTCCTGTTCTGATGTTGGAACTCTTTTCCATAAATGGAAAGGCACTGGAATGAATGTGTCTTTATGAATCTGGGGGAGGTCTGCAGTTTAACATCTAGTAGAAGGAAAATGTACTATGTTATTTTGAATGAAAAACCTTTTTAACTGCCACAATTTACAGATCAAAAATGATGATACTCTCATTGTCATTCTTTAGGCAATCCAGTCAGAGATGCAGTTGATGGTTGTCCTGCACTTGCAGTGTAGTCTGTAATTAAAAGACTACAAAAGGCAAATAGATTTAAGGCATAGATCAATTCAGAAGTGAAGTGATGACAGTTTTATTTGCATTGTTAATTTTTACTGACTGTGTGTCAATTAGATCTGGACTAATGGTGATTAGACTCCTAAGATTCCAATTATGCTATCACTGAATTTCTGGTTTTACTTAATACATAAAATGTGCTTCCTCTTTGCTCATAAACAAGATTCTGAGTGTAACAGATGAAGAGCATAAAAAGATGAGACCTCTGGTGGATTATAAGAGCTAGTTTGGAATGGTGGTGATTTCCATTGTTATGTCATTTATATTTATTTACTTGCTTTTATTTTCACTGTGGTAGGAGATGGAGTAAGTGAAAAACAGGGTTCAGATTCTGAGGAGAATTGGATTGGTTTATTTAGGCTCTCCTTTGTTTGCTCCTTAGCACAGAGGGAAGTACTCTGAGGAAATGTATTTATACAGGGCACTATTCTTGCCTGACCTAAGTGCTTTCAGCTGTTGTCAGCAGAAGTATTTTACACTGGAAAGAACTGCTCTCTCACACAGCCGTTACACAGCTGCTCTTGTGTTTTCAAGCACTGTGGCTGGACATTGCCATTTGAAGACTTTTCCCATCACAGGGGAAATCACTGGTGCCTGTGGTGGCTGTTTCTTCACCCAGACCCATCGTCTGCATGGGCTGTGCTCTGCCTCTCCCTGCCCGTGTTTTACAGAAATCTGATCATTGCAATCTTCTGCTTACCTGTGCTTGTAGAAAAAAAAAATCTATTGGGTTTTCCTTTACTGAATTATATATTTATATTCTGAAATAGGATAGAAACTCTGTTGATGCATGAGTGAAGCAGTTTAGCAGCTTGAGTGGACACTTGACTTTCATAGTAGTTTAGAATAAAATAAACAGGGCATCAAAATGAATACTTGAAGACTTTTGACAGGCAGCACTAAAGTGAGTATAAATGAATTTGTTGTGATAAAACATGTAATTTTTAAGTGCCACTGTTCTGTGGAAGATATCTGTTATCTTATGAGTTAAAATTTCACGTACATGAGCCAAAAGCTACAAAAACTCGAGATAATATTACATTATTCTATCAGAGAACCATAGCAAATGTCAGATACACTTAATAAGATATTCTTCATATTAAGTGGCAGTTCCAAAGTACTTGGATGTGAGGTGCTCTGCAATTAAAAATATTCAGGCAAAATTTGTTATTCAAGGTAATAAAATTAATGGATTCACTTCAGATAATGATCTGTTTCCTCTAGGTATGGTATATTTATTCAATTATTATTTCAGAAGCTTTTAAAATATGAAACATGAAAAGATTAAGAACCAACTACTACTTATTAAATAATGTTTTACCAGAGAATGGGTTTTATATTGTTTCTTCAGCTGTTTGTAAACTTTGGCATGTCTTGGACTCATGAGTGACGCAGAGAATCACGTTCAGTCTTGAAGCTTAGTTGTTAAGAAAAGTTGAGTAATGGGTATTTTCACATATTTAAATGTTGTGTTAAGGACATATGAGCAAAAAGGAAAGAGGATGTGGTGAATCTAGATTTTCACCTGAAATGCAGTCCTCTGACTCCTGGAAGGAAATATTGCAGAGCAGAGTATTGTTATGTAAGGAGAATCCATGACTGCACTTCTGGTGATCATAATCTTGCCTAAAGGAGACTGTGTCAGCTGAAAAGAGAGGAAAGGAGGAGTAAATAAAAGTGATCTTTTTATATCTCCTCTGCCAAACTCCTAGGCAGTGTCTCCAGGTTTGAGGGTAATCATGACCACAGTGCAGAGATAATCTGCTCTCTGCTGTGAGTATACAGCAGAAACAGAAACAATTGTTGAAGTACAGCATAATTAAGGTCTTATCTTCTCTCTGTGTTTGTTGGTGCTGTTGCTGAGATTGTGTCTGTGTTCTGTGGCTGCTGTTACTCAGTCATGCTGTGCCATCAGGTTTGTGCTGCCTCCTCACATCACTGTGTCCAATACTCACTGCACTTTCAGAAAACATCGTTCATACATTCATACATTCATACAAAACATCAGAAAACATCTCCAGGTGCAAATGTGCTGACAGAGGACCAGGTCACTTCTGGATTTTATTAAGATGTGTCAAAAAATGTTTCCCTCTTTATGCTTTCAGGTTCATTTTATATCCTTGTTCAGGCCTTAAACTGTGCTCTGCAGTTTCAGAGTATAATGTGCAACTGATCCAAACACCACAGTTGCCATTATCTCCTTGAGTACTGTGATTCCTGTTTTTTTCTGGAGTTTTTTTTTGAAATCATGTCCCATGTGCTTGGTTAGGACAGCACCCCAGAAACAAGGCAGATCCAGGGAGCTGCTCAGGCACTGCACAGACTGTTTCCAGGTGATTCTGAATGGAGCAGCCTGAACTAAATCCAGAACAGGACTTGCCTCAGGTTATCATTTAGTGTGGTTTGCCATAGAGCATGGATTATAGTAATTCCTTAGAAAATTTTATTCCACTGGATTTCTAGTACTTATTTAAGTCATTTTGCTGTAATTATGACTCCATTTCCTCCCAAATTGCACGTGAACTTTACTGGGTTTTATCCCAGATGAAGAAATTTTCTGGCAGATTGGGAGTGCAGGTTGCAAACCACATGAACTATATTTGAGAGTATATCAAAGATCACAGAAGTGAAGCACTGAAGGCTTTTATCTCGTTTGATTTTAAACTTGCTTTTAAAAAAAGTACTCTAATTTTTAGCATTGTGGTAAAAACAGCTTCAGTGCTTAGCTAGTGTATGAGTAAGTGCTGATGTTATTAAAAATATTCTTAAGCACATAGTGTTGCTCAGTGAATCAAGAATTTTATTAATTTTGAAACCAATATTGGTCCTATTGCTATGTGTATCATTACGTGACATTACAACAGAAAGGTTATGGATTACATTTGAACTTTAATTGAAAAATAAGTGAGATGCTTAAGTTAATATTATTTTGAAGTCAGCCTGTGTTCAGGTTTCAGAATAACTGTAAATAATGTTACTGTAAGACACCTTTGCTTATCTTTCATATGTATTGCCTTACTTTCTGCAGAGTGAATACAGAGCTCTTCTGCTTTTAAATTATTCTAAGTAATTGCCTTGTCTATAGTAAATAAGGTCAATTTTATTTTATGAAGCTTAATATAAGCATGATTATTGAACAGTAGAGAGAAATAGGCAAACTATCAGAAAAAAACAAACTCTGTCTGAAAATAATCATAGAGAAGCATCACCTATGGTTTCTTGGCTCTGCTTAATGTCTCACACAGGATTGGCCTAGATGGAGCTTTGGTCTGATCATTTGTTGATTCCTTACTGTTTATGATATATCAAAAAGAACATTTGCTGCAAAACTTTAGGGTTGGTTTATCACAAACCTCTGAATAACTGTGGAATATAGTTCCTATTAATTTGCATCAGTCTTTTTATAAAAGAAAGCCCAACAACAGTCTTGTACATTACAATCTAATTACAGTCCAGACATAGTTTTCAAATCCAGCTGTCAGGCATTTACTTATTTCTTACTGCAGTTTTAATTAGCTTTATGTATTGTATCTCTACTTTCTGCTATATTCCCATTCTTGTACTTTAATGTGCTTTATGATTTGTTCCCATAGCAACAGAAGTACCCTGGCAGCAACTTTAAATATTTGTGATATGCTTTCTCCACTAATGTGTAGCATCTGTATGTTCAGGACTGTTATTTGATGATAAATCATTAACTGGATTTATGAGCTCTCAAATACAGAAATTGAATTGCTAGGGGTTTTTTGCCATTTGTTTGTAACTTTTTTGTCTTTAAGTGTCCTCTCCTCTTATTTTTCTAGAGGATCTGAATCCTGACAGCATTAGACAAGCCTCAGAGCAGCTGAAGAGTCGCTGGATTGAGTTCTGTCAGTTGCTGAGTGAACGACTGGCATGGCTGGAGTACCAAAATAAAATCATTGACTTCTACTCTCAGCTGCAGCAACTGGAGCAGACAACAATTACTGCAGAAAACTGGCTGAAAGCACAACCCACACCAGCAGCAGATCCTGCTACAGTAAAAACTCAGTTAGAAAAATGCAAGGTTAGAGATTCTTCTCCAAGTTTTTTATGATATTGTACTTCATAGGTGTTCCAACAGCAGGACAGATTATGGCATACACTATTTCAACATAAAAATGGTAAATTAATTCCTTGTTTTTGCAAAATTAATTATTGAAAATATTTATTTGGGGAAAGGAAAGACTGGTAAAGAAATAAAGAGGCAATAGAACCCAGCATATGGGTATTTAAAACTCTGCCCAAAATACTTAGTTATTAAGATACTTAGACACTTAAATCTAGGAAACTCTGACTCTAAAGTCTTTTTCTTTTTTTCTTTTTCCTGTACGAATCTGTATTTTTGGTTCCTCATTAAGAAATTGTTGCTGTGCCAGAAAATTGTTTTCAAGTCCAAAATTCTGCCATTGCACACCACTTGTTACATGCCTTGCATTCTGTGCAGCCAAATGGAGGAATATTCTTCTGTCATATCACAACAGAATCGCAGTAGTTGTACAAAAATGGTTACACCAATTCACTAATTGTTTTCATTTGTGTGCTGCACCATCGTGGAAATTTACTTCTCTCTCTTAGAACTCTGTGGATCGGATTACTTACAAGATATTATTGATTGACATGTGGTATTGAATTACAAGTTGCATGACGTACTTGCAGAAGTTTGACTTTAGAAAATCTCTGGCCCCAGGAGCTCTCAAAACAATCTATGCTATTAGTTCTATTATCAGTTCTGCTATGAACTGCACGTTTGACTTGTTTCCCTCATTTGTTTTTCTGTAGTGGTTGCATGTGTCATAGTTTGTACAAGTTCTTCTGGAGGTACCACAGCACAACCTCATTGCTCTCTGCAGCCCCTGAGGAGGGGAGTGGGGAGGAGGGTGCTGGTCTCTGCTCCCTGCTGTCCAGGGATGCCTGGGAAGGGTTCCAAGCTGTGCCAGAGGAGGTTTAGACTGGACTGGGAGGCTGTTCACACTCTGTAAGAGGCTTCTGAGAGGTGTCTGTGGCTGCAGCCTGTCAGTCTCTGAAAGGCAGCTGGACAATGCCCTTACCATGTCAGCCCTGCAATGGTCAGGCAGTTGGACTAGGTGTCCCTTGAAGCTGAGCTATGTTATCGTGCTCCATCCTACCTACACTACTTTGCCTTCAGCCTCTAATGTGTCACTGTGAGGCTGCTGGAAATCACTGGGCATCCTCATCTCTCCTTTTGTACGTCATGCTATTCAACCTGTACATAACCTGAAGGAGTTCAGGATCAGGGGACGTGTGTTTTCCCAGTTTCACATGAAATGGATGTTCCTTAGGCATGAAGCTTTAATGTGCAATGTGTCTCATTTCCTTTGAGCACAATAATATGCTGATGTCCCCTGAAAGTGACTTTTAGCAATGGTATCAATCAACAATCATATTGGGAGCAGAGATATTGATTTGTGAGGAAAGATTTTAAATGTTGAAGTTGTTCATATTGTACTGATGTATTTGGAAGCAAAACAGATGTGTAATGTGCATTGAAACAGTGGTGATTTCATGACACTACTGATTTCATTTGTACCTTTATCTTGATTTTTTGTTTTGTTTTGTTCAAACATGCAGGATGAAATCATCAGAATGTCAACCCTTCAGCCTCAGATCGAACGGCTAAAGGCTCAAAGTCAGGCCCTGAAAGAGAAGGAACAAGCACCAGTGTTTCTGGATGCTGACCTTGCTGCTTTTACCAGCCATTTCAAACAAATATTTGCTGACATGCATGCCAGAGAAAAGCAGCTACAGATGAGTAAGTGTTCATGACAAGAAGTCAATTTACCTGACTAGCATGAAAATAATAGGTGTAGATATTTCCCTTTCCTAAATTTGCATTTGCTTTTATCATGCTAAACCTCTAGTGCAGTTCAGATGTTCTTTTTTTTTCCAATTGAATTAGTCTTTCAAAAATTATCAGTGCATTCCATATTTTGTATTAATTAGAAAACAAGGGAAGGTACACTATTCAGAAGCAAAGGTTACACCCAGTGTAGTTCTACCATCAGATCTCCTCTTGTTTGCACGTTTATGGACAGATTCAGTGATATTTTTTGGTGACACAAAGGTGTCTTTGTTTAGTTGGGTTTCAAGATCGGGCGGTCCATCTCTGTCAGGAGAGAGGAAAGGGAGTTTAATTGCAGAAGTAAATGTGCTCTAGATTCTCACAGAAAAGAAATTTAACTCCATAAAGCTATTCAGAGAGAGTAGCTACTTCAGCCTATCTAGGTTTTTCATTATGTGGCCAGCTGCTCTTTTTTTGCAGCACAGAACATATGACTGCCAATGTCATAACATTATTTTCAATATTTGCAGTAAAGTTACTTTTAAAACAGGTAGAAAATACTATGCCAAAATAGAAAGTTGAGTATTCCTTGTTAAAGGTACATAGCATATCAGTGACTACTCTACACTTTCTGTATTTGATTATGAAATAACATGCCAGAGAAAAGAATACAGATGCAACTTTTTAAAATTTATTTGCCTCTTAAGCCAAGGATATCTTTAAATGACTATACTGTTTTGAAATTGGACATTGTGCTAGCTCCTTCTAGTGGATCTTTAGAGTATTCCTCCTAAATTATTTCATGGAAAGTTTTGGATTCTATTTTTTTCAACACTACATTACTGCACTGCTGAAGTTATTTCACATGTGCACACATATGCAAACAGGAGAGGTAATGATGCAGTGGAGAACTGAAAAAATAAAATGCAAGTGTGCCAAAGCAAGTGATGGAAGAATGAGCTGTAGACATTTAGTACTAAGGAGTGTAAAGTTTATTCATTACTCTAAAGTCAAGACACACAATGGGTAAGATTTAAAATCCATTAGCTCCACGCTGGTTTATATGCTGAAATCAATTACCATTCTGCCAACAGAAGAATACTCTAAGTGCTGACTACTTTTGGATTTCTTCTCTAGCTAATGGTGCATAAGTGCTGGTTTTGCCTCACCTAATTTTGCTATAGCAAGACCTCACGAACCAACTAGTTGATTAGTCCAGTAATATAAGTAGTGTTCACTGCCTGAGCTGTAATGCCATGGGCTTAGGTGAAGTTCTTGCTGGGTATTCACTCTCCCTGCTGTGTGCAGTGTGCTGCCCTGGGTCTCTGGCCAGCTGCACAATCAGCTGTCCTCGAGTGGAAGCAGTCAACAGACTGAGAATCTCCCAAAGTGCTAGAGACCAGAAGTCCCTAAATCAGTATTTCCTGCAGCCCTGGACAGTTGTTACTCTTTGATGTGGCTGCTCTGCATCACAGGCACTTCATCTCAAATGGTTCAGCTGCCAGGATGGGATTGGTTTAGCCCATACAAACATACATGTAGTGATATTTTAGCAGAGAGTAGTATGTCAATCGTATTTTATCTTCAGAAATTTTATATATGGTTTTATTCAAAGTGCTAACTTCCTTTCATACTGCTGTAGATATGAGCAGTCATGCATGGCATGGGTTTGCCTGTTGCTGTTTCAGGAAGGTCTTATGAATCAAACAATGTGTGAAAAAAAGGCTGAAGCTGAAGCACAGAAAATTTGGCTCCTTGAGCTTCTTCTTTCTTCAATGGCTGTTTTTCTTGTGTTGCACAAATGGGGAAAAGGCCACATCCCATCTCTTTACTTTAACCTTACTTTAACAGAAAATGTTGAAATTTTGCTGGAGCATTTTAGGTCTTCCCATCTTTTATTAATAGAAATTATTTGCAATCAATTATTTTCTAAAGATAGAAAAATTTCATAAAGACTGAATGATGTTTAACAGGTCACTTATAGTATTTGAGCCACTTTTTCTTCCCTATGCATAAAACCTACATGTTTGTAATGTTAAAAAGAGTTTTATTTTGACTCATCATAAGGGGGTTATAGTTTTTTTATATGGTATTGGGGTAATATTGTTCATGTTCCATTACTCCATTATATTACTGTTGCTTTCTGTGTAAAGAAAATACATCACAAGGGAAGAAATTCTTGTCTTTCCTGGTCCCAAGTCCTCTCTTTTGTAAATCCCCAGATGTATGTGATAAATCAGATCAGCCAAGGCTTTTATGAGGAAAGTGTGCCATATAATGTGCCTGCTGCACAAGAGAGATCCTAGATTGCTCTGATTTCAGTGTGTTGTTATGATGTCTAACTGAAAATATAAGGGTTTTTTTCAGGTAGCATTCTGTTATCAGCTAAAAAATCAGGTTAAAACCTGAAGGATGTTCCACCAAGCATTTCTGTATGAGAATGTAAGCAAGCTTGCACTTAAAAACTTTGACTGTGGTGTTAGTCAAAATTGCTTTTGGGACAGCTATATCATTTCTCAGTACAGTCCTTTTATGAAACATCAGAGAAGATGGAAGAGGATACAGGAGATACAAATACTTTTTTTGAGCTTTTTATATATTTCATTATGATACGGTACAAGTTGGAAATGTTTCAGTTCCAACCAGCCATACCATGTCTGTACATTTTTCAATTTGTACAGAAGCAACTGCTGTTGATGGCAGAGGGAGTCTCTCTGCTAATGAGTTGCTCATGTGTGCCAGATGTTGTCTATTAACAGCAGCTGTAATGTTGGCACAATAAGCACAGTCCAATAAAATTCAACTTTATTGCAGAAGAAAGATTGATTTTCTAAGCTTTTAACAGATGTCTTAAATTGAACATTTTACTTGAACAGAAACATTGAACATACAAATATGGGCCATAAAAGGACACGCTGGTTCTTAATGTGTTTCTGAAATTAGAGTTTGGGTTAAATACAATGGTTTGTCTGTTGATCTCTGAACACACATTTAAACTAGTTGTTTTGGACATGGAAGTTTTCTTGTGACCTATAATAAGAGAGTCAAATGGCACACAACTAATAAAAAGAGACATCATAAACATTAGAATGAGTGTGTTCATTCTTCAAAAAATTTCTGTTTCCACATTTTTTCTAAAATTCTGATACTGACATCATACTGGGCCTGTTGCACAGTAGCCATTGATTTTAATAAGGCTTGGTCTTATATCAAGCATCTTCTGTCAACAAACCAAACAGTGCAGCACAGCGTGAATTTATTTCCTTCCTTCCTTTATTATCTTCCTTTTTCTTCCCCACTGAATGTAGTTTGTGACAGTTTGCCTCCTGCACACTACAAAGAGACAATCAGCACCATACTTGTGTGGATCCAGCAGTCAGAGACCAAACTCTCCGTGCCTCAGGTTGCGCTTGCGGAGTATGAAGTCATGGATCAGAGACTCAGTGAGCTCAAGGTGAGTAATCAGGCTCTGTGGGCAAATATCTCCAGTGAGAAGGTCAGAGGAAAGGAACCCTCAGTTTTCATGGGTCTGCTG